AGCGCGCACACAATCACACACACACACACACGCGCACGTGCATGCCCTCACATAGAAGTCATGAACTTTTTGCGCGCGCACTAATTCGCTGTGTACGAGTGCTGCGCTGGTGCACGTGATTGGGCGAATTTCATAGGTCGCGGCGCCTACATACTTGCATATGTGTGTAGGTATGTGCGTATGTGTAAAATGTGGATTTTGAACTCTTGCCAAAGCAATCAGCGACTCAGTGCAGTGGTGCATAACTTCGGGTTTGATGTGGTGTGTGCGTCGGTGAAGGGCAGCAGCGTCAATTAAAAGCTTCGGACGGCTTGCCACACTATGTCTAGCTATACATGCATACATACAAGTAGGTGCGTATATGCGTGTGAATATCACACAACTGCGGTAGTATACCATGTTGGAAAATCAGTTCGTTTTGATTCGTTGTCATGGCAATGAATTTTGTGAACTGAAGTCTTCTGAAAATTAACAACTGAAATGTAATTGGTCTCGTTTGACAAACTGTCTGCATTCGCATTGCTGAAGAATTGTAAATGTTTTAAGTTTTCTATATGTATGTATGTATATGCAGCGCTCAGAGAAAGTATAGCTTTTCAAACTTTCTAACCAAAAGTATAAAAACTGATTTCATAGGCGCAACGAAACTTCAAGCTTGAACTCGTAAGTTTAGAGAAAATCACACAAAATTATATAATCAACCGTATTAAACTCGAATATAGTGAATCCTGATCGACAAATTAGTAACGAGCTACGTACAAAGAAATGAGTCAACCGTTTAAAAAATCTAAAAAAAATATTTCCAAAGTTTTTTTTCTAGCGGGAAACAATGCCAAAGTCTAAATGAATTGAAAACTTTATTGTATCGCATTTACACCCATTAAGCGAACGTAAATGTTCACAATTCTTTTATAAATATAACAATTATGTCGGAAAAAAGTGTGAACTTGTAAAGTGTAAGGTATGGATTGTGGCATGGAAAAATGCGCTGAAAAATTCGCAACACAAACTCGATGATACGAAGCGTTGAAATGTCGCTTGCTACATTTTTTTGTAGTGTGTTATGTGTTGCACGCTGCATACCACGGTACCATACGCTTGCATATTGCAACGAGGCAATTACGTGGAATTTCGCAAACACATACAAAACGGCTTGCTGAAAACGGCGCTGCTGTGGTATGTAAATTGACATATTTGCCGCAAAGATGCGTAAATGCGTTGGTAGCGAATGTATGTGCACACAAAATTGCTAACAACGTTGTAAGCGCAATTCGGCAAATAAACTGACTAGCGGAAACGCCTAAAACTCGGCTACGCTTCGTGAATCATGTAGCGAGCAGTCGTCTTACTATTACCAACTTGTAGCATGATCGACACACATACAAACACTGCATAATGCATTTGGTGAAGCTTTTGCACACCGCATTGTGTAATGTTTGGCAGAAATAAAAAAAGAAATTAATAAAAAAAAAAAATTTAAGAAATATGTTCACGCATATGTGTGCACTTTTTGCGCACATGTGCTCAATATGTTTGTGCGTGACCTAGAAAACTTCGGATCGAATCCATTTCTGCGTACGTGTTGGAGTTTTTCTGTACAGTTGCAAATAATTTGTGCATCAAAGCGAAGGCACTGTGCTATAAATATTTCACTGACAAAAAATGGTGACTGAAGACATATAAATATGTAGATGTTGTGCATACGACACTTGTTCCATATACATGCGTTGCTCCGTTGCTGTCGCATTGCAGTTGCAGCGCACACACACGCATACTTGCCACATGCCGAATGTTTTGGGTTCGATAACGTGTTGCAATTTTTGGTGGCAATAATGCGACAAAAGTGTTAATGAAATATATGAAACTGCAAAATTTTTACAGAAACAGCAACAAAACCAACAAAAGAGCGGCGATAGTAGACTATTTTGTTTTCGCAGGCTTTACATAGAAACCCTATTTAGGTGTACACCTTTAAGCTGCTAATGGATAGGCTTGACAACGCTGACTCAGAGATAGAGGCATAAAGTGATGTACAAAATATAACAAACTTTATAAAAAAAATGAATCGATGGATAAAACATATAAAGCAGTGGAAACAATGCCGAAAGATGAATATTACAAAAACAAACAAAACAATAAAACGGTTTTTGTGTTAGGTATTTTGTTTCAAGCTTATGGAGTAAAACTACTGAATGTGTCTCGCTAAGTATATGGTAACCAATTTTAACTAGTATTTTATCAAAAAATAAAAAAAAAACGTTAACTTTGAATGAACCAAAGCTATAATACGCGTACCCCTCACAGTTGTCACAGTTTGTTTATAACAAATCATTAACTTAATTGTGATTGATCAAATCTGTTTAGTTTGTATGGCAGCTATATGCTATATTGATGCGATCTGAGTAATATATTTGGAGATTATAGCGTCTGCTTATGCAATAATCTATGCCAAATTGCGTGAGAATATCTGGTCAAAACAAAAAGTTTTCCATATAAGCATTTGATTTCGATTGCTCAGTTTGTATGGCAGCCATATCTTATAATGCTACGATAACGGAGAAAAGTATGTTGCAAAACTTCAGATCGATCAGCATTTATACAGACAGACCAACGTGCATGGCTAAATCGAACCCAACATGTCAACATTTATATATATATAGGTATTTTACGAGCTCCAATGTTTTCTTTGGGATGTTAAAAACGTCGTGCCAAACTTAATATACCCTGTTCAGGGTATAAAACCATACACTGAAAGAAAATAGGCATATAATTAGTCTATTACATGTTTGCATGTGCTACAACGCAACGCCTACTTTTCAAATACTAACATTTGTTCGTTAAAGTCAGGAAACTTAAGTAAATCAAGCGAGTCATTTGAATCTAAAACAATTTATCTTCTCATTTCTTTTGCTAAGTAATAAGATGACTTTAAGTTCTAATATCAAAATAATAAATACAGCTACAAATACAACAACTGTATTAGAGCTGCTCAGAAAATTCACACTACCAAAATTTCTCTTGCTAGCAACTTAACAGAGCCTCTTAATTCCATGTTTTACTAACATGTGTAAGTGCGTGATGAGAGCGGTAACAGCAAGGGGTCACCTGTGATCCATATATAACTCAGTGGAAATTTCAACTGGAAAGGACAACATGTCGTATGAGTGGCGTCCACATTCCGCTCCGTTTCCTGACTCTGCTACTCAGAGACAATTTACTGAAAGTTCGCTCCACAATACGCAGAGAGGAATTTACGCTCGCGACGTACTGCTCTCAAACCCATAATGCGTCTATGTCGTTGTGTAAATTCGTTGTGTTAGTCACACAATGCCAGTGGCGCTTGTGAATTTCGTTTATCTCGTTATACTTCAAATGCGTGCTGACGGATCGCTTTTGTGGCTTACTGTTAAACTCCCGATGCCAGCTATTAAAAACGCATTTCTGTCCACAAATATATCTATGTACGTATAAACTTTATGTTTGTTTGTGTATGTTTGAGAATTGTGACGGCGTGCCTATATGTATGTGAATATATTTCTAGAGCATGCCTTTCACATTTCCGGCCTTCACCTCTTTCGCATGCGAGTGCCTCGAGTGCGTTTGCCTTGCTAAGGATAGCTGTTTTCATTTGTCGCCTGCTTTATGTGTGTTTATGTTGGTGATAATGTGTGCAAATTTGTTGTTGTTCTATGCTCAGATTTGCCGATGTAGCATGCCATTCTTGTTGTTTATGTCTCTGCAAATTGTAGAATAACAAACAGGCATAATTTTAGGCGATTGTCGTCTCTTTGTGTGAACGATAAGTATTTGAGTGTATGTGTGTGTGCGCGCGCGTAAATAAGCAAATCAAGAAAAGATAAGCGAGTTAAACAGTTAAGCAGCATTACAACAGAGCGTTTATAAAACATAGAACAAAGCGCAGAAAAGCCAAATATTAAGACAAACGTCGAAAATCTCAATAACCAAGACTTCAAATCCCAGACTCAAGTCTCTGGATTACAAACACAAGATATAAAGCAGCAGTTTCAGTACTCGCCACTTAAGCAACAGAACTGCAGATACAACACTACAAATATTATTATTGTCCACACATATTATTTCTGGATTCATGACCCAAGTTTAGAAATTAAAATACTGGATTAATAGCTCAAGTTTGGAAATAAATATACTGGATGAATCAAATCACATTTCAGTCATGCTGACATTTACATATATTAAAAATTCGTATTTAAGCGAACGCAAAAACCAATAACACGACACAAAACTTGCAATCGTCAATGACCTAAACGAGAAGGCAGAAACGCCTGAAAACATGTTAAACAAAAACAGGCGTTTTGGCAGCAAAATAAACACAATGACACACAATAGACACAAAGAAATAAAACGAACATATACAGTGTATGGGAAAATTGTGTCGATGCTAGTTAGCGACCATTACCTTCCACAATATGTGCTCTGCAACAACATGTGACTTTGCACGTAAGTGATGAATTCAGTAGAAGCAAACAAAGTTGATGGCGAAAACACAGTGATACGATTCTAATGACAAAAACTTTGTATAAACGAAGAGCATAAGACTCTCTCAAACATAGCAAACGAGCGTCAGAAGAAATTATTGGATATGAGAAATGTGAACGTCTCGCACTCACGAACAGCTGTCGCGCCTAGTGGATGGCATTTGAACCCATTGAAATTTTTGTGGACGGTATTCCACACGAATGCTACCCATAACATACAATATAAGGTCTGCGCGCTGACGGTAGACAAATATAAGAATTTTATTTCAATAACGACTTATTGCGCTCCAATTGTGCCTCTGCAGAAGCACATTACAATACATACTCACTTTTACTTTTACTTTTTTTTTTTGATAGTCTGCAGAGAGATATTTCGTACTTTTAATAACAGCTTCCTTGTAGTCAAATATATTTCTGTTGACACTCAACTACAGAGTTTTAATAAAAATTAATATATATAAGGAACACATTCCACATATGATCCACCGCACAAAAATATTTAAATAATTTTATTCCACACCTCAACTTCTACTCTCAACACCAAATATTATTCTCTGCGCTCGATTTCAGCCGCTACAAGCCTGGCCAACTACAACTGGAATTTAGCCTTCCAACATCCACTACACACATACACAGTCGCATACGCCGTCAGCTCAAACGCTTTTCACTAGACCGCAGGCTACACTCTCTCTTTCGGTGCACAAGCTGCGTTAACGTTCCTCACACACACGCTCAAAACTTCGCAAACAGCACTCGTTCAATGTCGGCAATAACGATTTTCCCCCTCCAATACCGTTACCCGACCGGTGTTCCAGTACGACATGTGAATAGACCATGCCGCAGCAGCTGTCGCTTCGCAGCCTCAGTCGTTTGGAATCCTTTCGTGTGTCTGCGCGTCCGCAAAACGAGTGCGCGTGTAAAGCTGAATTCATCCAGTGGTGATTACCTTCCGTAACGTTGCGACTATTGAATATATTAATAGCGGTTGCTTGAGAACGAACAGCTGTCGTACAGTCCGAGAAATGTAAATAAGCGATTTTCTTAAATATTTCAACTAATTTGCAATTACTATGAATGGCGTGAAAATAACCGCAAATGTGTGTGCGTGTGTGCATGTGTGAACAAGTTGCAAGTTGCGTTGTAGCAAGATTATTGCTACCACGACATAAATAAATTTAGTCGATTAGGGGCATTTGTGCGTGTGTATTGTGGCATATCGCGACACAACGGCATTAATGCGGCATAATAAGAACATGCTTTAAGACCAAAAAATGTGCACACGTAGCGTAAAAAGAGCGCATAAAAGAATTTGCCAAATAAAAGGCAAAGTGGAATTAAATAAAGTAGATTGAAGGCAAGCAAGTGGCAACTTAAACGGTATAGGCGACGCTGCCGCAGCGGCCAAGTGAAATCGGAATAAATCCTGTTGGCAGGCAAACGTTAGCCGCGCAGCTCAAGCTGCTTACGTCGCGTTTTTTTGTTTTTGTTTTTTTGTTTTGCTGATTGACGCAAAGTTTCAAAGGATTAGGATAAGCGAGTGCGCCACTGGCTGCTAATGTATACACACACACACACAAGTGAGGAGAAGAGCATTGGAATGGACATGCGGAAGGCAGTGTGAGCAGTACTGACGCAACTTCGAAGTGATGACGACTGAGTGACTGACTGACAGGCTTAAAGCACGCACACGTATGCGCTACGCGTAATATGTGTTGCGTATATGTGTTTGTGCTGGCAATGTGTGCCGCTAGCGCCTTAAAGTAGGCAATCAGCACTTGACATGCCTACGTGCTCATACAGCCCTGCATGCCGTAAGCGTTGGCGAATTGAGAACAAAATGGTTTGATTCTAGCTAGCTTTAGCGTTTTAGCTTTTCATATTTGCTCTTTTGCTTACTTTGTCGTGTATTAATTGAAGTCTAAAAAAATTATGAATTGAATCATAAAATGTTCAATTCTTCCTCCTGACTGTTTCTTATGAACTGGATTGGATGGATTTTATGAGCATTCGAAAGAAAAAAGGAGAAAACCCGTTAAATAACACCCGGCAACTAAAGAGTGCCTCGTTTGTATAGTCTTTATCTTGTATTAAAACTGTGTACCCCTGGTCAATTAGAACGAAAATGTGGTCCAAAATTTAGTGTTGTCTAGTGTAGTGCTAGTAATTAGGTCATATTTGAAAAAATATACTTATTTCATAAAAAAATGCGTTTGAGCAATAATTTGGTGAATTCTTCTAAACCTTATTTTGCTGCAGTTGTGGGTTCTTAGGTTTGTTATGGCGCATAAGTGCTATAATTCGCTGTCACCATTTTCTTAGCCCTTTGCTATAAATATTTATAAACAAAAATTATATTCATGTAATGCATTTTTTTCACTTGCTCAGCCGGATCAGTACTTGAATTTTGGTTGGCGCCATAACATATCTGATCAAATTTGACCCGGATAGAGAAAAAAGCACCATTTTCAAGTATAATATTTAATATCAATCTTTATTGTCGCACACATGCCAAACTTTATATTATACAATTTTTCGCACGCCGCTTGGTTGGGATGGCAAAATCTTTGATGACTTCACTTTCACTGCATGCTTTATGCACTCAAATACTTGTATTCATTCTTGAAAACACTGCTACTACCAGTCGGGATTAAATTTGATCCGATGGAAATCGAAACCTAAATATATGTTCTTTAATCGTTTGAAGTTGTCACTCGAGGCACTTAATGCTGTTGCCAACAGGTGCTATAAAATTGCATGTTCGTTCAATCACCTACAAATAAATCAAATTTTGAACTAAACGAGAATTCCATTGATTTATAGAGGTGTAAATGAAAATTAAAGATATCACAGAGTTCAATAATATTACCTTAGTCATATTTAATAAAAGGGCGACCTAGTGAAATCCGCAGTGTGATTATAAACTTAGAATTTTAAGTATCATAATTGAAAAATTTTCTCTATGCGAAAATAGAATTGCTAAATTACATTTGTTTTCGTTATAAATTTATCACCCCATTTGTATATCCTTATTGTGCTGCTCAAGGCAAGCGAGAAACCCATACTCCATCATAAATTAGTTACACCAGCGTCATTATGATCGTTGGCCCGATTTCTTCGCCGCCCTCTCGTGCCAGCCACGGGCAGGGAAGCAGAGTAGCTTTTAAAGCAAAAGCAAGCAACATGAAAGCAAACGAACATTGCTTGTGGTCATGCATAAATTAAAAGCGCGTTCTCATCAGCAAAGGCATACACACACACACCGCCATACACAACCTCACAAAGTACACCAGCCACGCACTTAGCCTGGCAGCCTACATAAAATGTTGGCACACACTACTACACAGTTGCCGCGCAGCGCGGCGCGGCGTACTCCATTTAGAGTGCATTGCCATTGCTTTCCATTTCGCCTTCGCCTTCAACGCGTACTAGTAAGGGCGTGTGAAAAACACACCTCCATTATGCATAAGCCCTTTTGTGGCATGCAACTAAGCACACCAAGTTACTCAGCCGTTATGTATATGACGTTGCAGCGGCCGCATAAATGTGCCGTGCTAGAACGTCAGTTAGAATTTGTGACGCGATCGCGTGTATCAAATGGGAATTGCCGTTTGAAATTTTGAAAATGTGAAACAAAATTTGCAAACTGCCAAACATGCGACAACATAGTTCGCGGTAATTACAGAATACTTAGAGGCGTTTAGAGGCTGGTCTAACGAAAGTCCACCAAATGTGTATGCAGGCAATAAAGTCGTGTATAATTTGCTGAATTATGTTAATAGCCGCAAATAATATAAGAAATTTGCATAAAAAACATTCCCTTTGCATATCTGCAGGCGCGTGATCTTGGCAAAACTCAAAAAAATATACTACATTAAATGTGCGCTTGTGTTAACAATTTGCATAAGCTCAAAAGAAAGGAAGTAGGCTACGCGCATTCACGTAAACGTCTCTCAGCGTAAATGTACAATATGTGGGAGCTGAAAGAAGTGAAAATATGAAATATCAGTTGCATAATTTTACGCTTCATAATAGAATCCATTTATTTTCCGAAAATATATTTAAGCGCATCAAGTCTGACAGCATAGTTAACTAAACAAACTTATGCACACACACATGCATGGCATACACTTATTTTGCGCAAAGTTGCCAACGTGTTTCAACGCTGTTGACCCAAATTCGCCTCAAGATATTTGCTCACAGAAACCAGAAGTTGGCTTGTGTAAATCAACCGACTTTCTGCATATACATATGTATGTATATACTCGTGTCAATATGAATGCATATATATGTATGTTAAGTTGCATGTGAAGGTGCATGTAATTGGCTGTAAACGCGAAATTTAAATGCTACACACACACACACACATATATGCACATCACGAGGTTACAGCGCTAGAAAGTCGTGAGTACGTATAGAACTATGTTGGAGCTTATCTACAACAAAAAAGCTTTGAAATATGCATGTGTAAAGCTAGTTTATTAAACAAACTGAACGCTTTATGAAAACTTACTATTCTATCTTATCCTTTCAGTTTTAAAAAGTTTTAAAAAAAATTTAAGGAAGTTAGTTAAAATTAATTTAACCAAGAAACCACATTTAGCTGCTTTACAAATTTTTACGACTTTCTTTTTAAAACTCGATAAAAAAAATTTCTGTGAGAACAAGTCGCTAATAATAAAAAATAACTTATAGGTGTTAACTTAGAACTTATAGCAGTTAATTCTAGTAAACTGTATATGACTACAAAATATTTTCGAACTAAGCCGCAATTTTGAAAAATTTAGTTTCATAATAGTTTCAATTATTCAATCATCTTTATGCATTTAAAATTTCAATGAATCAATATTGAATTGAGCATTAACAAATGTAGCCTACAGTTAGGGGCGCCAGAAATCTTCCATATTCATGCTCATTAACCAACTTGATAAATTTCATCATGAAATAATTTTATCTAAAAATAAAACTTCAATGAATCAATCTAAAATTAATAATAAAATTTTTTTTTTTAATATTCCGTCTTCTCAGTTTTGTTTAGTATGAAACTTAAACGAAATTTCCAACATCATTGCATACTACAAGGCGCATTTATTAAAAATATAGCAGACAGCTTTTATAACCAAATTTAAAATAAAATTGTAATAACCCCGAAGCGAAGTCAAGTCTTACAGTGCATAATAGGTTACAGACTTCCTGCCATAGTCTTAAAATTATATTTAATTAAGATTAATGGATTATGTTGAGGCTCTCCAACGGCAAATGCGTTGGAACGCAATTTTATATAACTAAATTTCAAACAGAAGCTTTTCTCTTGTGATTAATACAAATGACTTACGTCTTCGTTTATATACCTCTTTCTGGCTAATTTTCTCACATTCCGACTCTTTGTTTTAAATCTACTTAGTACACTTACGGGGGTAATTATTTTACTATTTCAGCTCGAAATCCGAAGCAGCGCCCGCACACGAAAGTGTGTAATTAACCGCTACATTTATCTGCATGTAATACAAAATAATTTAAAGTGCACAAAAAAACATTGATTATCAATTAAATCACTGTGATTAAGGTAAAAGAGAATAATACAAAAAACCATAATAATGCTAAGTGTGCATCTAACCGCAAAAACGTTTAAGTGCCAATAAGCTAAAACACACGTGCCAGTTAAAAGCCAACGAGGCAGAAGTCAAAATCGCCTTGGTTTCAGCCCGAACATTCCGCGGCTGTAAACCCACTCAGTGCCACAAAGGAAGGGTGATTTTAGCGCAGTGAAGTATAGCTATATTGATCAGGAATTTAAAATGTGTGTGTGTGCAAAAATGTGAGTTCAATACGCGCAATAAAAAATCGAAGCGAAATAAAGTTACAAATCAATAGAAGTGAAAAGTGCCAGAAAAACACGACTGCACCGTAGACACTCACAGCTCAAGTAGGGGCTGCGACAAACGAGGAAAAGTGGAAATTCAGTACGCACGAATACTCGCAGTTCAAAGGCGGCAATAAAACAATAACAACAAAACGCAACAAAAAGTCTATATAAATCAAAAGTCAAAGTGGCAAATGAGTGATGTCGCCGAGCAAAACCAAAAAGAGGTCGAAAGACTTGCTGTTACGTAGCCTCTGAAATCGAACTGTGGAAAAGTAAAGCAACTTTGTTGTAGCGGGGCTTGGGGCCTGCGCTGAATGCCGCTCAAATTGAAACCTAACTAAGCGTTAACACAGCAACAAGAACAACAAGATCAAGCGCAAACGAAACACACGCAATCAGGAGGAATGTTTGGCAAGTGTGGAAACTAAAGCACAAAGCAAACAATAATGAAAATTATAAGTGGGTTGCACGTGAGCCGAGTGTAGAAATGATAAAGCAAAGTTTGCACACATTTAAACTTCAGTTACAGCAGCGCGAGCTCTTGATTTCGCACAGAAAGTAGCTGACCAAAGCAAAGTGAATCAAATACATTTGCAACGCTAACTGGAGCGTAGCATTGAGTGGAGCGAACTAAACCGTTAAGCGGGTATAATACAAAGTGCGCTCATATGTGTGACTATTTGCAGGAAAATATAAATATATGTGAAATCAAAAAATGGAAAGAAAGCTGTTTAAATAATAGAAAGCAAAACAAACTATGTGAGAAAGTGCATGTCTTCGAATATAAAGAAAATGTTATTAATAATAGAGATCAGAGCAAAAGCAACAAAAGTTGTCAGGCTACAAACTTACACAAAAGAAAATAAAGCAAAAACTACTAACAAGACCGCAGAGTAGGAGGCACAAAGCCGCCGAATCAACAATTGAGGTAAGTTAACTGAAATGGTTTGTCAAACGAAGCCAAGCGATACGTTTGTGAATAGGCAAAAAGAGATACTCATAACAACCCTTAGAGAGTGCGCTCTCCAGCGAACAAACTCATACTCTTTGATCAAATATGATCCGGACCCGGTTTTATAATATACATGCATGCAAACCAATATCAAATCCATACACTTGTAATCCTCGGCTGAAATGACCGTCAGTACCTTCAGCAAATTTCATTTATTAGTTTCCATGGACTTATGGTGGTTCTCCGAAGCTTTCCCGAAGTTTTTCCGTTCCGAAAATAGAAAAAATGACACCGGGAGTCAAATCGGTCGAATACTCGACCTTATTTTTGTAAAAGTTTTAGTTACCTTTACCTTTTTTGGCGTTATCGTCATTTAGAGGGGTGACAGAACCACAAAATTTTAAGCAAAAAATTAAATTTTTCTCCTTAGTAAAAATCGCCAAAAAACTACCAAACACACACTAATAGACATATGCAGATCAATATTCGAATTAAAGCTTTAACTACTTAAGAGTAACTTACTTATTAATCACGAAATTGCACACTGCTTATAGCCATCTGCATTAGCCATCTGCGTTAGCCATCTGCATTAGCTAACTGTGGTGTTTTTCCTGCCTTGCCGTACAGAGAATTAAAGCCAAAGTCAAGGACGACAAATAACAGTTTTGCGGCAGTAAGGGTGCAAATCCACCTGGCCGCATCTACAAACACTAAGTAAATGAGCAAGCAAAAGTTAATTCTTTAAGTTAAAGTGAGAACGGACACAGGTACACAACAAAGAAAAATAAAATCAATACAAATACAACACTTAACTTAATACAGGCGCAAACACGTGCCTCGCAAGCAAAAACAACTGGAGTGTTGACCGACTGGAGAAATGACGCCGTCAGAAATGTGAACTGTTAAATGTCGCCCCATCAAACTAAATGGTAAGAAACTATTAAGTGGGCGAAAAAGGTTCATGAAACTCCTCACCAGTGCAATTTCCCAAGCATGTCAGGGGTGCGTGTGTCGAGGTGGAAATATTATACTACGAACACAACGGAGCTTCTCTCTAACAACATTGCTGCTTTTTGATTATGGTATCGAAATAATTTCAAGTGAGTCCATAAAATTAATAAATAGGTGATTGGCAAAGTACTCAATTTAGTCGAAAAGTTAAGTGGCACCAGACTGTCCTCAAGTTACTACATTGAACAATTTAATCATGACTGCTATATAGACGCAATAGAATGAACCTTACTTTGCATTGACATTTTAAGCAGCAATTACGTTAGAACGAACTTTCTGTTAAAGTGGTGGCGTATATAAGGCACACAGGTGGTGAGAATTGCGCTTGCACTTGACAAGTATTATTGTGATTATTTGAGGAAAGCATAATTCATATAATTCAATAACATATTGTCATCAAAATTTTTCTTTAAAAAAAATTGAAGAATTGTTTTAGTTTCTCTCAAATGAAAAAAATAAATAAATTACCATGAATCACTTCAAATATTTCTGGTAATGCTAAAAGCTTCGGTTACGGCGGCGCAAAATCGAAAGTTTTTCTTTTGATACATTTTGTGATTAACTAATACTATTTCTTCGAACAATTACACAATTTTATTACAAATTCATCAAGCTTGACTTGCTTACAAATTTTAAAATTTCTATTTCACTGCGTTCAATGCTGAAAAAATTAATCACATATCACATTTTGACGGCAGAATTTGATATTTCATTTTCAATAATATTTCCTGTAACAGTAGTACTTACTGCCCACCAGGGCTTATAATCAACACTTGTGTTAGTAAAAAAAACGCTCTTAAAGTGCAAAATTTAATCTGAGCATCTCGAAGTCATACAATCGGATCATATTGGTAGTGCCTAGCATTATCCCGTTAAGGTTTTCCCAGTTCGGCAACTAACTTACCAAATAATTTAGAGAAGAAGGGGGTTTGGGCGATTTATGAGCTTTGTAAGGCTAAGTTTTAAAATTATAATTGTGTGAAAGACTACGAGAGAACTCGAACATTTTTGAAAGAAATTAGTTATCGAAAACCAGTCTTAATTAAAAAGCGAAGTAAAATAATCTGAGCGAATCTAAATGTCGTGGCCAGCTTCATAGTCTGGAAACTTGGAATAAGCTGTAGCTATTTCGTTAATATTACCTTTTTTAAAAATTTAACTCCCTTACTTTTTTAACTAAATTTTATGCATTAACGCACTTTGCTGAAAGGCATTTTGTAGGCGTGACTATAGCCTTATACGGTCACACTCAACCACTTCTCATTTTATTGCGTACAAATATGCAGAACTCGTCTCAAAACAAAATGTTATCTAGCCTTGTTGATTAAGCGCAGCGCTCACTGATGCTCAGCATAGTAAGCTAAATACGGCAAATAATTGTATATACTCGCTTTAGTACGTGTTGTGTGCATTTGTATACACTTGCCAGTTGAATATCCACTGACCTGGCTAACTTTGAGCTGCGATTAAATAGGCCAAAGTTCGGTAGGATTATGAAGAGTACTGAACTGTGCAAAAAAGCGAGCGAAGTGCCTGTAAACAAAAAGAACTAAGGAAATGTCGGATGAGCAAAAATGATTGAAATAAGAGTTGGCCAAAACGGGAGCACAGCACCAAAACCTTTTTATTTGCATTTACTTTCGAATGAGTTTTAAGCCAAACTACTAGCCGAAAGCCAATTCGTGTACATTAGCAACAAAAAAAAGGGCAAAAGATGAACTTCTGAATGAAAGAGGAAACTATTTGTTGCCCGAAAAATAGAAAAACAAAACTAAAAAAATTAAAATAGCTTTGTGTGCAGCTTCTTCAGAGAATTAGGTTATGTGGTAATATTGTTGCTTGTGGTATGGTTGCACAGAGTGTAGTTATATATTGGTGGTCAGCGGAAGCCGTAATACAATACAGGCATGTATATGTAACCACAACTAACAACTAACGGGAATTTCTATTTCGAGCGAGTGATTTAATCATTTATGCTACATTATATTTCCAGCTAATTTCTCTCGAATTTCTGAAACCGAAAATGAAATGATGAAAACAAATAGAATACTTAAACTATTAAAAGTGTCGGTAGAAAGTCAAAGCAAGAAAAGAAGGTTATCTTTCACAAATAAAAAGTTTTCCATATAAAAACTTGATTTTGATAGTTCAGTTTATATGGCAGCTATATGCTGATGTGGTTCGATATTGCTGATTCCAACAAATGAGCAGCTTCTTAGGTAAATGAAGACGTCTGCGAAATTTCAGATCGATATCTCAAAATATGTGATACTAGACAGACGACTCCTGTAAATATGAACCGCTCCATTCAATATGTTTCACCCCATTATATGGCATTTCTTGATTGCTGCTACAACACAAAGTTCCTGCAACATAAGCAGGCTCACACACATACACACGCACTATAAATAAGTCTTTCGCTCGTTTTGCTGCCATACCTTGTGGCGTTTATACAACCAACCAAAAGATTTTCATATTAATCATTCTCACAGTTCTTTTTCGTCTAAAAACATGAAGAGCGCCGTCTAGCTCGTACGCCATACCGCTTGTTCATCGATTACTTTGGCAATATCTTCATGCTCATATATTTCTCTATTGCTACAATTTTATCGATTTACTTTATGTGCTTCCCTCATCCCATGCGCGATTTTGTGCCAATAAAGTTCCGGCATTCGCACGGTTTGCTTCAATTTACTTGCGGTACTGCGACGCCCAGCATTTCGGCATTTCCGTGTTAAGCGCTTTTTGTCGGTTCGTTTTGGCGCTGTCAAGCAATTTACGAGTAGTGGCGCCCCTTTTTCGCAAGTTTCCAAATTGCTTTTATATTTGGTCGGGTTGTAAGCGTGCGTTTGTAGTGTATGTGTGTCCTTCCCAGTCTGAGTGCTTTTGGTGCCAATCGGGGTTTTGCGTGCGCTTTTTGGGCTTTTCTTTAGATTTTGGTCGAAATTTTGCTTGTAAATAACCAAATTTTGGCTCCTCGCTTCTCTATTTTCAGACTTATCGATCAGCGTATACCCACTAAATTAGGTAAATAGCTATTGCAAATAATTTTTCTAACTTGAATGCAGTCATAAAAAATAAAATTTTATTCGATTCACTTTTCTCTTTTGCAAACTTCTTATAAAAGTAAAAGGCATTGCGCAAAACTCTGGGAATCGAAGCAACTATCCATTTTCTGCATTGTACAAATTTTTTTTAATCTACCACATGCGCTTCACTTTTGCAAAATTTTCGCGTCCTTCGCTGATTGGAGACAGCATTCAACAAAGAGGGTAATTAATTTCGGGAAGTTGTTCCTCATTCTCACTCGCATTTTGACTTTATCTGGTCCCTTTTGCAATTAACGAAATGAAGGTGAAATGCAATGCAAATGCTTAAAAGGTGGTTCTTGACTTTTTGAGACTATTTAGTTGAGGCGTATAAAATATTTTTGCGAAAATACCAATTACTAGACATCTATAAAAATCTGCTTTTCAAGCGTTCACTGTGTAAGAACGCTTCTTCATATCATTATTACAATGATGTGGCGCTATTTTATATTACGGTATTTTGCAATTTAGATTTATTTTAAAAATTTGTAAGCAATAATAAAGCTATTTTAAATACTTAGGTAATAACATTCTGGCTTTGATTCTCTGGATAAAACTTTGGATAAAACACAAACTCAATAATTTTCATGCATTTTCTCAATGCACTTATGGTTTGTATGCGATTTGTGTGCTGCCGCTCACTACTTAACTCCCATTTTGAGTGAACGAGTCTGCATGCCTTTAATATCCACATGACAGTTTTATTTTCAACTCAGCTTTCATTTGACTTAATGCCAAAAAAATTTGTTTTACCCTTGTGATGGCAGCCACGTTCTTGTCGAACCACAACTGCGGTGGAATATGTTAAAACTCGTCGAGTCAGCAGCGCAGTCAAATTGGAATTCAATCAATTACCACAACAATTTCGCAATATGG